AATTTAATTTTAAATTTTTCTATAAAAATATATATATATATATTTATATAATATTATTTAATTTTTCAAAAAAATTATTCACTTTTATAAAATTTTCAAATTATATATATTTTATTTAAATTTTAATATTTTATTAATAGGTATATTAAAATATTTAACATATTTGTAAATCATTTTTCTTTTAATTTTTTTCAATTTAATCTTCAATTTATTTATTTTATTTTTAAAAATTTTTTTTTTCAAAAAAAAAATTTTTTTAATATTTAAAATTTTGTCATGATATATTATATTTCATATATATAATATCTTTTTAATTTTTTTGATAAAATCCTTTTTCAAATTATTAAAATTTATAAATATATATATATATTTATATATAATAAATATAAAATATTTTGAAAAAAAATCAAAAAGAAATATGATAAAAATATTTGGTTTGTAAATTTTTTTATTTTAACTTATATTTAATTTATATCATTTTTTTAATATATATATAAATTCATATATATATATTTATAAATAGCTAAAATAAATATATTCCAATAATTTTTTTTTTTCTTAATTTTTTTTTTAAAAATTAAATTCTTTTATTAAAAATTTATTTTAAAAGACTATAAAATAATTTAAATATTTTATATTGTGAAAAAATTTTTTATATTTATTTATAAATAAAATCATTTTAAAAATTCATGATAAAATATTTAAAATATTGTATAAATATATATAAAAATAATTTTTATATAATTAAAAAAAATAAAATTTAATTTGATTAAATTTTTCACCATAGGCATTTTTATATTTATTTTTATATAAGTTGGAAATTTTTCTCAAATATTTTAATATTTTTAAATTTTATTTTATTTTTAAATAAAATTTTTATTATTTTAAATTTCAAAAATTTTTATCTTTTATACTTTTTTTTTATCAATGTCTCATTAAATTTTTTTCTATATTAGATTTTTATAAAAAAAAATAACATATGGGTTTTTAAAAAGTTTTTTAAACAAAAAAAATTTTAAGCAATCAATTTAATTTTAAACTTTAAAATATTCATTTTATAAAATATATAAAATTATTTAAAAAAATTATATATTTAAATAAACAATTGAATAAATTAACATTTAAATTTTAAGACATATATTTTGTTGTTTATGCAATTTAAAAAATTTAAACATTATCTGTTTTAAAATAAATTTAAATAATTTCTTTTTTCATTTTTTTATAAATAATTTAACAGTTTATATTTTAGTTGTTATTATTGGCAGAAATTAAATTTTTTTAAATAAAATTTTCAAAATTTATTTATAAATTTTTTTTATTAAGCTTTTTTTTTATTTTTTAAAATTTTTCAAAAATTAAATTATTTTGAATGTTTTTTTAAAAATTATATAATATGTTTAAATTTATTTTTTTAGTTTTTTTATCAATTTGTTTTAAAAAATTTATACAAAAAAAATTTATTTAAAGAAATAAATATTTTTTTAAATTTAATTCAATATTTTTATATTTTTTTTTTTAAAAATTTGATATTTTAATTTAATTTTTTAATTTGTTTATACAATTTTTTTTTTTTTTATTAAAAAAATAATATTTAATTTCAATTTTTATATTTTAAATTATATTATTTAATTTGTATAGAAAATCATTAAAAAATTTTCTAAATATATATATAATAAATTTAATATATTTTATATATATATATATATATAAGATATATATATATTTAATTTTTTTAAATATAATATAAAAATATTGTAAATATTTTTTTCAATTTTTAATTTTTTTTATTTATAAATATTTAAAAATAAAATGTAAATTAAAATTAAAAATTTTATTTGATTTATTTCCATTTTTTTTAAAAATTTTTTATTATTCATAAAATTTTTTTAAAAAAATGATTTAATGACCCGTTAATTTTTTTTTTAAAAAAAAAAAAATATAACAAAAAATAATATATATATATATATATATATATATAATATATATATCAGGTCATCCCATAAGTTCTGTCCGAATTTTGAATAAAGAAAACAAGTGATCAATTGTTACATTTAATTATAGATTCAATCAACAATGTATTTTCCCTGATTAACTATTACTTCCTTCCATCTATTAACAAGCTTACTCATTCCATTACTGTAAAATTCTTTTGGCTTTGATTCGAAGAACTCACAAATGTGAATTTTAACTTCTTCCTTTGTTACAAAAGCTGTTTCTTCCAAATGATTCTGGAAGCTACGAAACAAATGGTAGTCTGAAGGAGCAAGATCGGGAGAATAAGGTGGATGAGGAATTTTCTCCCAACCAAGTTCTTCGATCTTTTGTGACGTGATTCTTGCTGTGTGGGGTCGCGCATTGTCCTGATGAAACATCACCTCTTTTCGATTCACTAGAGCAGGTCTCTTTTTTCTCAAAGCTTGGTTCAAACGCTCTAATTGCTGACAGTATATTTGAGCATTAATTGTTGCATTAGGTGGTAAGAATTCAAAGTGGATTATTCCTTGGCGATCCCACCAGATTGAAAGAAGAACCTTTTGCCCATGAAGTTCCCTTCTCGGCTGTGGCTGGGGTCCTTCCCTTTACCAAGCCACTGTCTACGACGCTTAACATTTCGATAAAAGATCCATTTTTCGTCGCCAGTCACAAGTCTATCCAAAAAAGGTGAAACAAGTTGGCGAGAATGGAGAGAAGAGCAGATGTCAACTCGGGATTTGAGGTTGTTTTCAGACAATTCATGAGGCACCCATTTTCCAAGTTTAGGAACTTTTCCAAGTTGTTGAAGATGACGATGAACAGTTGTATGGTTTGAACTGAGAACCACTGCCAATTCCTCAACTGATAAAGCAGGATTTTCTTCAAGGGCTGCTTCAAGAAGCTTTTCATCAAACTCAACTGGACGTCCGGTTCGATCTTCATCTTCAAGGGTGAAATCTCCACCTCTGAATTTTGCAAACCATCTTCTGCAAGTTCTTTCATTCACACATTCCTCTCCATAAACTGAGTGAATGTTTCTAGCCGCTTCGGCTGCTGAGTTTCCTTTCTTGAACTCATAAAGCATTATGTGCCTCAAATGATTCTTGGGTACTTCCATGTTAGCAGGGTTTTAATCAAACAAAATTTAATTTTATTGTTCTCTGAAATAAAATTTGATCAGTTTAAATGCATCTAAACATAAAAATAATGTTCAGCTCCATTAGACATTATAAAATACTCTTTAAATTTCGTTCATTTTAACAATATTTTTTAATGTTATAAAAAAACCAACGACCTTTGATTTTTTTCAAAGAATTGAATGATCTTGAGTTATTAATTTAAAAAAAGGTTTAGACAAAAATTAAAAGTTAAAATTTTCTTAAGATTTAAAGAAAGATTAAATTGTTTGTGTTGGTCAAAACGTCTGTAAAAATGAATGAAAGATTGAAAAAATAAATGTTTTTTTAAAAAAAAAATTGACAAAAAATTCACAAAATTTAATTAAGAGCTATGAAATTCCAAATTTTGGAAAAACGTCCTTAAGGGAACACCCTAGAAAAGATAATATATATATTTAAAAATGGATGACGGATTGAGGTTTGTTTCATAAAAAATAGTGCATTTATAAAAAATAAATACAAAAAAGGAAATTTCCATGCTTTGTTTTCACCAATGTCCTTTTTGTTTATACATAGAATTCATTTCCAAAAACTTTTAAAAAAACAACTATAATTTTAATAACAAAAAGATAATTTTTTAAATTTAAAAAATCAGGATATATTATTAATGAACATTTGATCAAAAAAATTGCTATGGCATATTTATTAAGATGAACATATCAATTATTTTTTTTTTAAATGAAATTTTATAATATGAGCGAAAAAAAATCTTCATTTTTAAAAATATCATTCATTTTTATTTCTGAAAAGATAAATATGAGAATTTAAAAAAGAAAATGATGTCGTCAAAAATTAAATAATATCATTTTTTAATAAATTTTCTTTTTAAATCTTTTTTAAAAATTCAAAAATTTTTTTTTGCAATTTTTTGTAAAAATCTCCATCCGAAAAAACAAAAATAAATAATATATATTTAATATATATATATATATTTATATATATATATATATACGGATGGAATTATCTTTAAAAATGTGTGAAATGTGAAGAAAGATATAAAATTAGGTAGTTTGTAAAAATTCAATTAATGATTTAAAGACAAATTTTATACTGGAACAATAAATTATGGAAATAAATGAGAAAATATTAAAAACTATTGTAAAAAATGGAAATTTAAAAATAAAAAGTGAAGAAATCTTATTTAAATGAAAACTGAAACATTTAAAAAAAAAAGAAAAATCGATATTTTTCATATTTGATTTTTTAAAGGAGAGCAAAAAAACTTATATACAAAAAAAGAGAATTGTTTTAAATAAACAATTAAAAATTAAAAAATTAAAGGAAAAAAAAAAGTAAGACATTTTTTTCGGTTTTCAATCAATTTTCCACGTTATTTAAAAAATATAAAATTATTAGTAAAAAAATTCTGATTTTGATATTAACAATTAAATATAAAAAATTTTTACTTCCAGATAACATTTTTAAATTTAACCCAATTTTTAATTATTTTTTATGGATGATAAAAGAATATTCTGTGTGGAGGAAAATAAAAATTTTCATTAAATTTGAAATCATCTCTTTCCTTTTGGGTTTTTAATCGCAAAATTCTCAATTTTTATTTAATTTTTTTTGAAAAAAATCCAAAATTATAATAAATTTTTGAATATTTTGTTTATTTATCTAAAATTTAGAGCATTACTTTTCAAACAAAGATGATGTTTAATTGAATAATTCATATAAATTCTTTAGTTATAAATGGATGAATTTTTAAAAAATTCATTTTGAAAAGAGAAGAAGAAAAGATTGAAACGAATATAAATTAAATATTAATGATTTTTTTTTGTTGTTTTGTTTAATAATTTTTTTATAAAATAATAAGAAAAGATGAAAAAAAGTTTTGGTTAAAAAATGTTCATTGGTAAAGATTTTTTCTAAATTACAAAATATTTTTAAATTATCAAAAAATATTTAATTTTTTTTATTTTTTGATAAAAGACATGAAACGACTTTATTTAAAAAATATTCTCTCAAAAATCCTTTTTCATAAAAAATTAAAAAAATAAAAGGAGGAAATTTTGAACATTTTACCATTTCAGAACGTTTTTGAATGGAAATGATAAAATAGAATTTTTTGATTCGATAAAAAATTACTTTTAAATTAAAAAACAAGAATAAAAAGGAAATCTTCTATGAAAATTATAAATGATAATGAAATTTTTACAGCTTAAAACGTATATTTATTTATTAAATGAAAAATGGATTTTTTTATGAATGAGTTAAAATCAGAAAAGATAATAAAACTATTAAAAATGAATACAATGATTATTTTATAAAAATTATACTAAAAAAATATAAAATATATAAAAGGCATTTTAAAAAAATGAAGAATGAAAATTATAAATATCAAGGATGAATGAAATTGAAAATAAAGGTGAAAATTGGAAAAAATTAAACAGCAAGGATGAAAAATATATAAAATATTATAATCTACGAATGAAAATGGAGAATAAAAGGATTTAAATAATGGTTAAATCATTTATGAAAGAAAAAAATCGATAATGAAATAGATAAATAAGAAATATCCGAAAAATTTGAAAATTTAGATAAAATGAATCAGGTTTTCTTAATGTTTGATTTGAAAATAAAAAAACATTCGAAATTCAAATAAAAAAATTGAAATATATTTTTTTGAAAATAAAAAAAGAATTTGAAATTTTTTTTTCCATTAAATATATTTGAGAATAAAAATTGAAAATGGAAGATAAATTATAAAATTATTTGAAATATATAAATTGAAAATTTAAGAAAATTTCATTTTTATGAGGTTTAGAAATTGTCATATTGGTGAAAATATAGAATGAAAATGGAAATAATATCGGTGAATGATTTCAAAAAAATTTTCTTAAAATGAAAATTAAAATCAAAGGATGAATAAAAAAATATATATCTTTTTAATTTGATTTTAAATTCTTCATGATGAATAATTAAAGAAATATAAATAAAATTTGAAGAATGAAAATGATGAAAAGAAAGAAAAAATGGGAATTAATATAGGTTTTCTATGAAAATTTATAGCAAACATGAATGATAAAAGAAATTTTGGTGAAGAATGAAATATTGATCCAGAAAGGATATGTAATTAAAATATATAGGTGAAGAATGAAAATTCCTATAAGGATATTTAATTAAATAAATATAATATATTGAATAATGAAAAATGAAGTATATATATGAATAATTAAATAAATATAGGAAATTTTTATTTTCTTTTGCAAAAGATTTTTGAATTTTATTTATATTTAAGAATGAAATGGATTAACAAAATTCATGAATGATGTAAGAAATATAGGTGAAGAATGAAAATGGAGAGAAAGGATGAATAATTAAAGAAATATAATTCTTTTTTATGGTTGGAGAGCAAAATGAATAATTAAATAAATATAGTTTTAAGAATGATTTCATTTAAATTAAAAATTCATGAATAATTAAAGAAATATATTTTTAAAATGAAAAAATGGATTTGTCTTGAATTAGGAGTAAATTTTTGTTCATTCGTGAAGAATGAAAAAAGATTAAGCAACGGTGAATAAGGTAATAAACAGAAACGAAGAATGAAAATGGAGAGCAAGGATAAATGCGACAGGAAGTAACGACCAAAGAACCAACACAATATAACATTGTTATTTCAAAAAAATATTGGTTTCATCAACAAATTCCAAAAAATTATATATATATATATATATATATATATATATATATATATATATATATATATATATATGTATCTATTGTCGAATCTTCATGATCTATCTTTAAATCTACTTTTATTTCAAACACATTTCATATTAATTTTTGAATTCTTGATTTATGTTCTCTAAAAATAACTGCTGTATTCATGAAGGGTGTTAGAAATTTTCTTTATTATTTACAACTCATTTTTTTTCTTTGACATGAACTGATCTGATTCTTAGGGTCAATTCTTTGGGGTATAAGAAAACATAAAAGGGTTAATGAAAATCTTTCAACTCTCTTTGAGTTTGTCTGCTGAACGAAAAATGGAACACATCTAAATAAAAAACAGCCGTTTCATTGAGGATCTAATCGAATAAATAGAAAACACCCAGAATAATGGGGTTGCTACAATCACCTGTATTTCATTTTGGAAAAGGATGGATGCTTTTTCTATCGACTACTAAACGTCTGTATTTATTATAGCTTCATTTTTAATCTATCAATCAATCTATCTATCTATCTATCTATCTATCTATCTATCTATCTATCTATCTATTTTATGTCGTTCATTATCTATCTCAGTCTATTCATATCTATCTATCTATCTATCTGTCTATCTATCTATCTATCTATATATATATATATACATATCTCAGTCAGTTCATATCTATGTATCTAAATATCTATTTTATGTCGTTCATTATCTATCTATCTCAGTCTATTCATATCTATCTATCTCTCTATATATATACATATCTGTCTATTCATATCTCAGTCTATTCTATCTCAGTCTATTCATATCTATCTATCTATCTATATATATATATATATATATATATATATATCTCAGTCTATTCATATCTATATATATCTATCTATTTTATGTTGTTCATTATCTATCAGTATATTCATACCTATCTATCTATTATCTTATCTATATATATATATATATATATATATATATATCTATCTATTCATATCTATGTATCTATCTATCTCTTTAATGTCGTTCATTATCTATCTATCTATCTATCTATCTATCTATCTATTTATTCATTATCCAGCTAGCTAGCTCGCTAATTAACTAAAAAAGATTTCAGTGATAAAATCTGTCAGATTATTAAATAAAAAATACATTACATATTTAGAAATTTCTTACTTTTCTCTCTCTTTTCTTTTCTTTCATTAAATACGTAGGAGAAGGACGATGCACGATGTCAGACTAATGTTTCTACGGATGCCATCGAGTATTTGTCACTAAGTCAACTAAGTTATAATTTAATATTAAATACGGTTGATCAAAAATATATTTTGATACTTATCTATTCCCAACATGTATTTGCATCTTTTGAATCATGGTCCTGTGAGAAGTTGACAGTTTAATCTATCTATCTATCTATCTATCTATCTATCTATCTATCTATCTATCTATCTATCTCAGTCTTCTAATATCTACCTATCGATCTCATTCCGATCCTATCTATCTATGTATCTAACCCTAGACTTGAACAGGTAAAGATTGTAGCGATCGGGAAACAACCTCTTGGGAGTCGGTTCCTCAGGGCAATGGTTCACGAGAAAAAGATATTTGATGGTAAGCCATTAGTGACAATAGTGTCTTCAATGGTCTATTCCCACCATCCTTCAGTAGAATCACATAGTATTGTTCCAAGTCTCTACTTCAACTTTGAAGAGATTGTCCATTCTATTTTTTATTGATAGGAGGGGAAGATAGATTTAAAAGGTTAAGATTGTAGTGATCGGCGAAACATCCTCTTAGGAGTCTGTTTCACAGGGCAATGGTTCAAGAGAAAAAGCTGTTCGAGTGGAACTTACTTGTCACTGATGGAATATGGTGGGAATGTCGGTGGTTTGCTACCATCCAAGTGGCATGGTATATCCTAGCCATGAAGGTTTGAACTAGTCGAATCAGCGAATGGTTTCTGTCCGAGTTCTTTCAATAGAAGATTTTTTCCTCAGATTTTACTTTCAACTTTCCTCTCGCTATATATATATATATATATATATATATATATAGATAGATAGATAGATAGATAGATAAGCAAAAGGTTTGTCGCTTACTGATTGATGTTACCTTCAACATTCTGACTACATCCGTCCACTCCTCAGACGTATCAGCAATTGACTGCTTATACTTCTCAATTTTTCTTTTTTATATGCAGTTTTCATTGGTGCAATTTTTTCGTCGTGTGTGTGTGTGTGTGTGTGTGTGTGCGTGTGTGTGTGTGCGTGCGTGTGTATGTGTGCGTGTGTGTGCATGTGTGTGCTTTCGCGCGCAAGCGACCGTCTGCGTGGATGTGCTCACGTGTATAATGTCGTGATTATTTGACCTTGTCGTCGTTTTTTTCTCCACTTTACACTTCTTTTACTCTTCTTTTTCCTTTTTCCTCTTTTCTTTCACATGCCATTTGTCGCTATTTGGTCTCCGGCTTTTTTTTTTTTTTATAGACATGTCGTTTTTATTAGCAAAATTGTATTTCGTGTTTTACATAAATAATTGATTTTAATGTTTAAATGATAAAGTCAGTATTTATATATCTTCACGTGGCTATTATTTAATTTTCTTATTTATTTCGGTGGTATCTTAAGTAAGCGTAATATTAAAATATTAATATATGCCTGATCCCATTCCGAAGTGTGTTGTTTGTGTACAGAAAGTCAGCATCTCCATCAGGTTATCTATTGGTATACTGGTCCGTTCTCCTAGGGATGAATCCAAGGCCAGTCTCTCCCTGACTAACGCTAGTGCCTGCTCCGTGGGTACCTTGGTGAACAAACTCTCCATGTCCAAGCACGCTATCTGGTCGTATTGGATGGGGGCATCTATGAATATTTTCTCGAAGTGGGCGGAGTTTTAGACATATGAAGGTGACTTACAAATTAATGGGTAAGTAATGTCTCCAAGGAAGTGACTCTAGGTAGAATACACAGCCTTGCCATTTATATATCTATCTATCTAGCTAGCTAGCTAGTTCTGTCTGGTCTTCTCTATCTTTCCATCTATATATCTCAGTCTGTTTCTTTCTATCTATCTATCTATCTATCTATTTCATTCTGTTCATAAGTATCCATCTCATTCTGTTTATATCTATCTCTCTCAGTTGGTTCATAAGTATCTATCTATCTATCTATCTATGTCAGTCTATCTATCGTGCCTATCTATCTATCTAGCTAGCTAGCTAGCTCTGTTTGTTCTTATCTATCTATCTATCTATCTATCTATCTATCTATCTATCTATCTATCTAAGGCTGTTTACATCTATCTATCTATCTATCTGTAACAGTCAGTATGCATCTATTTCAGTCTGTTTTATCTAACTCATTCTGTTCATATCTATCTATCTATCTATCTATCTAAGGCTGTTTACATCTATCTACCTATCTCAGTCTGTTCATATCTATTTCATTCTGTTTCTATCTATCTATCTATCTATCTATCTATCTATAACAGACATTCATTTGTCTCTCTCCCTCTCCCTCTCTCGGCCTTCTGGCCGTGATATATCTCAGTCTGTACATGTTTATCTATCTATCTATCTATCTATAACAGACATTCATTTGTCTCTCTCCCTCTCCCTCTCTCGTCCTCCTGGCCGTGATATATCTCAGTCTGTACATGTTTATCTATCTATCTATCTATCTATCTATCTATCTATCCTCCTCTCTTTTTCTCGCTCACTCTCCCTCACACACTCACCCACACATGACATCTTTCTAACTCACCACAATATCTACACAAGAGGCCATATCTTCTTCATGCATTATTTTGCGCATTGATCTTTTTAACTCAAATTTTTTCCCTCAAATTTTACTTTCAACTTTGCCTCTTACCTGTAGCTGCTTTTATTTTCTTCTTCTTCTTTCTTCCGCTCCTTCCATCCACCCCCTCCACACCCCACCCATGATACCCTGAGCCTTGAACGACACTAATGAATCCTGACGCTAACACGAAAACCTCTATTCTACGTCTGTCACCCTCATAGGAAAAAAGGAAAAAAATATACCAAAAAAACCCCCCAAAAAACGCCCATCTCCTTTTTGCTTTTTTAGATTTCGTTTTAGAGAGAGACAAGAATTATCTGGGAATTCTTATGTTTTGTTTTTTTTTGGGGGGGGTCGTTTAAAAAAATGGTGAACCTTTGTATTTGGCATAAAGCTTTTAAGCGAATGTCAAGGTAGAAGAAATTTTATCTTCCTACTTTTGCTTTTCGTTCTGTGATGAAAATATGGCTTTCCCATTATTAATAATGTAAACAGCAGAAAACACACACACACACACACATTATATATATATATATATATATATATATATATATATATATATATATTGAGAGAATTAAGTGCCTCGAGCTGGCTGGATCAAGGTAAAAAGAACAATGTTATTTCAAACGAGTTAAAAAAAAACTTGGAGATCATGGAAGATTATTTCATGGAGATTAGAATACCCTGGAATGATGTCTCTGATTGGATCGAACTCTTTAAATATCGTGAATAGATCCGATTTAATAAATTATTTGAAAGCTTAATTTGAAACACTGTATATAAAAAAAAATATCATAATTCTATATGTTTTGACTATACGTCGGTTGATCGATAGGTCCATAGCCTCAAGTTTGAAAATAACCAAATATTTACTGTAGAAAGTACACTTAATTCAATATTAAGTGCATATTAATCACAAAGAGCGATTATTTCAGAAAAAAAATTCAGGCCACATTCATCCAATCTCAAATACCCTCGCCAAACACAAAATGTCACTCGAGAACATTGGGTGATGACCTTTCTTTCGCCATTGCCCAGTTTCACCTGGAAAATTTTTTCAACACTTGCATGTATCGGCTGTAACAGCAAAATTGTCCAAATCTTGTAACAGTAAAATTGTCCATATCATGTAACAGCAACATTGCCCAAATCGTGTAACAGAAAAAACAAAAGAATCCTGTAACAGTAAAATTGTCCATATCATGTAACAGAATATTGTCCAAATCGTGTAACAGAAACATTGTCCATATCATGTAACAGCAACATTGCCCAAATCGTGTAACAGCAACATTGCCCAAATCGTGTAACAGTAAAATTGTCCATATCATGTAACAGCAACATTGCCCAAATCGTGTAAGAGAAAAATTGTCCAAATCGTGTAACAGTAAAATTGTCCATATCATGTAACAGCAACATTGTCCAAATCGCGTAACAGAAAAATTGTCCATATCATGTAACAGCAATATTGTCCAAATAGTGTAACAGCAACATTGTCCAAATCGTGTAACAGTAAAATTGTCCATATCATGTAACAGCAAGATTGTCCAAATCGTGTAACAGAAAAATTGTCCATATGATGTAACAGCAACATTGCCCAAATCGTGTAACAGAAAAATTGTCCAAATCGTGTAACAGTAAAATTGTCCATATCATGTAACAGCAACATTGCCCAAATCGTGTAACAGCAACATTGTCCAAATCGTGTAACAGAAAAATTGTCCATATCATGTAACAGCAACATTGCCCAAATCGTGTAACAGAAAAATTGTCCAAATCGTGTAACAGCAACATTGTCCATATCATGTAACAGCAACATTGCCCAAATCGTGTAACAGAAAAATTGTCCATATCATGTAACAGCAACATTGTCCAAATCGTGTAACAGAAAAATTGTCCATATCATGTAATAGAAACATTGCCCAAATCGTGTAACAGCAACATTGTCCAAATCGTGTAACAGTAAAATTGTCCATATCATGTAACAGCAACATTGCCCAAATCGTGTAACAGAAAAATTGTCCATATCATGTAACAGCAATATTGCCCAAATCGTCTAACAGCAACATTGTCCAAATCGTAGAAAAGAAAAATTGTCCATATCATGTAACAGCAACATTGCCCAAATCGTGTAACAGAAAAATTGTCCATATCATGTAACAGCAACATTGCCCAAATCGTGTAACAGAAAAATTGTCCATATCATGTAACAGCAACATTGTCCAAATCGTGTAACAGTCAAATTGTCCATATCATGTAACAGCAACATTGCCCAAATCGTGTAACAGAAAAATTGTCCATATCATGTAACAGCAACATTGCCCAAATCGTGTAACAGAAAAATTGTCCATATCATGTAACAGCAACATTGCCCAAATCGTGTAACAGAAAAATTGTCCATATCATGTAACAGCAACATTGCCCAAATTGTGTAACTGCAACATTGTCCAAATCGTGTAACAGAAAAATTGTCCATATCATGTAACAGCAACATTGTCCAAATCGTGTAACAGAAAAATTGTCCATATCATGTAACAGCAACATTGCCCAAATCGTGTAACAGAAAAATTGTCCAAATCGTGTAACAGCAAAATTGTCCAAATCGGGTAACAGCAAAATTGTCCAAATTCTGTAACAGCAAAATGTCTATTTGTTAGATTACACTCTGAACCTTTTTTTTTCGAAATGATTAAACATATCTGACTGGAATTATCCAAGGTTTTTAGAATACTATTGGACTCTACTTTGAGCAATAAGAATGCATAATTACTCTCCCAGGTTAACAGAAGAATCGTCATGAATGAAAATGACATGTTCATCATTAATTAATTATAGCCAGATCTAATGAGGATTGAAATTAAGTTCACACACACACACACACACACACACACACATATATATATATATATATATATATATATATATATATATATATATATATATATATATATACCCATTTGCATTCAACATCATCACTTGATAATACACCGGAGAGGTTGAAACGAAATGGCTATTTTTATAGTGATTTTATAACATGTTTATATTGTAAATATTCTAAATAAATAATTATGTATATATATATATATATATATATATATATATTTTTAAAAGATATTTTTGTAGGTACAAAATTTAATGATCGAAATAAAAGTGTAAAATTTAATATTACAAGACATATTAAAACAATATTAAATAATAAAAAAAAACTCAACAACAAAGTGGGGAAGCAACCGGTTTCGCTCCCGCTCGTCAGGCTTCCACGGGAGATTCAAAATTAAAACAGAGTGTGGTTTCTAATTTTAGTAGGAACGTGCTGCTTTATTCTAGTGTCTAAGCGCTGAGTCGTTCTCCCTATGTAGTTGGCTCCGCAACTACAAACGTATTTGTAAACAATTGAATTGATATGGTGGGGAGGGAGAACGTCTTTACACGCAGATCGAAACATAGGCCGAGTTTGAAAAATAATCCGAACTTCAGCCGAGAAAAAGCAACAGCGAACCTTTGATGAAATTTGTTTGGCTATTTTTTCACATTTGGTACCAATCCAGGGTAATCTAAGGTAAACAGGGCATTTTTTGACCGTGTAGAGATCGGCACTTCTGAACTCTTCAACTTTACTCCGGATAACTGAATTAACAGTATCAAGAGGATAACCCAAATTACATAGGGTATCCCTAATAAAGTTAATTTCGTCGTTCAGGAAAGGCTCAGAGCAAATCTTTAATGCTCTGTGGAGGAGGGTTTTAATAATGTTGATCTTGCGCTTAGTGGGACAAAAAGAGTCCCAACGCGTGTATAACCCTGCAAAAGTAGGTTTTCTATAAACGGAAGTAAGAAAACCTGTTAATGTACGATGTACTAATACATCCAAAAAATCCAATTGATGATTAGACTCTTTTTCGATAGTGAACCTCAGTGCCGGATGGATACCATTTAAAAACGAAAGAAACTGGTCAGCCTCAACTTCACCGTTAAATAAGCAAAAGGTGTCATCAACATACCGACAGTACAGTTGAGGACAAAGTGGATTCCTTCGTATCTTTTCTTCTTGGAAGCCAACAAATATGTTAGCAAGTGCAGGACCCAAAGGCGAGCCCATAGCGACTCCGTCGATCTGTCGGTACATAGTATTGTTGAAACTGAATTCAACGGAGGACGTTGCTGAACAATTCAACTGGTGATAGCAGGTAGGCACAAAGAAAACCGGTGTCGCACGTCCAACCTTCTCACGAGCCTTCTGTTTGAAACAGCAGAAACGAGCCTGCTTTATACAGCTGCGGACCGACCACGATTTGCATGCGAATCACGAGGCAACGAGATTTCACGTTAACTGACCGAGACTACTCGGCATAAAACGCGGGCGCCGCCATTTTGGTTTTCTTTTTTACAGTTGGAAGGACCAGTGTTTACATACTGCGCAGATTCGAACGCGTTTCCGAGGTAGGCCATTTTCACAATTTTCCCCACAATCTCACCAATCTCATCAATTCCCGAAAATTGACTCAGGAAAACTAGGTGGAGTTAATGAACTGCGATAGAGATAGTCGCAACAAATATCGATGGTTTCCATCAAAGGGACACAAGTATACAAGGAAGAAACATCGAAAGAGCACATGAACTTACCAGAAGAAGATAAATTTCGCACGCGTTCAACAAAGGTCGATATATATATATATATATATATATATATATATATCTCGAATATGACCTTTCCATTTTGATAGCATCAGGAAGTCTCCTTCCTGACAAATCGACCATGGTGAGATTCGAACTATTATCTCATGGTCAGAATGCAAACCTCCTAACTATGACGTTATCTATCTATCTATCTATCTATCTATCTATCTATCTATCTATCTATCTATCTATCTATCTATCTCTTTCTCGCTCACTCTCCCTCACACACTCACGATATTGATCAAAAGGTTCATAATCGCCCAAGCGTATATCATGAATGGCACATAACTTTAACAATTTTATTATTTGAATTTTCTAAGGATTCCTATTTAATGACTGTA